CTGCGCCTACAGAGGGACCATGGATGGCTTGCGCTGCACCACCCACAGCTCCATCCACACACCCCATATCCGGTGTAAACCCGAAGGAATAAGACCGGGACGCGTGTGGTTTGGATCCACGTTTCATCAACGGAGCCGGGCCACACTCCTTCGACAATAGAACAGAAGCATTCCGGCCTACTTTGGAAATCCTATACACCAGACGTACACGAGGCGGTGCCTGGACCGTAGACCGTCCCACACAGGATTGAACCACTCTATAAGCCTAGCACCGTCACGAGGACGGTGCACTCCGTCCCCTCCAGCGACGACCAACTGCCACCTGGAGCCGGTATGGACGAGGTAGTGGGTAATACAAGTAGACACCTTGTCAACATTCACATCAAGCACAACAATATCGGGGAGCTCAAGCAAAATCTACTTCTGAAATGCAAGATTAATCATCACGCAGGCAAACGCACCACATACGCCGCCTTATTGGCCTGGATTAGTAAATCGAGTGGAGCGTACGCATCGTGCTTCTATTCCGCGTGCCGTAGTGCTCTTGCACCTCAGCAATCGCCCTTTTGAGCAGTCCACGGAATTCGCATGGATCAAAGTTGCCTTGAATTCGCAACACCTGAAATCAACACAAGTTTGTCACAAACTCATGTTCATATTCTGGTAATGTTATTTTCCGTTTGCCCGAGTGCCGCTTCCATGCACCTAGTTTGCGGTACAAAAGCGGTATGAGTATCCTCGTCAAATTCATACGGTATGCACATAGAAATGGATTAGCGTCATTCGTGTCCAATGGCAGTTCGAATACAACACATGCACATGCGTTTATCCAGTTAAGTGTGATCTGTCTAAAAGTGGATAGACACATTAGACCTCATGTTCAATGGTACTACAACCGTGTATGGGTTCCGTTTGGTCAGGCTAACAGCCACTTTCATAGGCATGACAATAAGTACCCAATATGAACCGTTGAGGTTTTCTTCAACGTTTAGACGTGAGAGCCTTAAACCGTGGGCATCCATATTTGAAGGAACCCGATATAGCAATAGTGAAGCAATTGCTAGGTGGAATGATAACTAAACTACTGGTACACTGAAATATTGTGCATTTAGGTGTTGCCCTCTACATGTACAGTCTAGTTTGAGTAGCTGACGGGGGGGGGATCACACAGCATGCGAATGCGATGCAGTGTCCACTTCTGGCTCTCTGTGTCTCCGACCGGTTCGGTCATCTGCTGCCCGAGGTATGTGTACCTACTCAAAGAACGATTGATGCGCAACCTTTGATATTGACGGGTGACATCAACTAAGTCCCGCTGCCCACTGTCAAATATGCGACTTTCCAAACAGTATTCGCATTGTTTTGCGAATGTCCAAGTACTCAACCGTTTGTACATACCGATGTGTACTCTGCTGTGACCAGAAGCTATGTGATGACAAACTGTGTCGTACGTCTCGGGTGCAGCCATTCGGTGCTCATAAAACGATTGTCGCTATACGCCGATTCCTTTCCGATGTGATCTACTAAGACAATGACGTACCATTCCCGTTGGGTTTAACCTTTTACTTAATCCATCCAAAAGCTTGGCTATGTGCTATGCAACTTCTGGTAGGCGTCTATGCGCTTCCGCTTTCCATCCGTTTAATATGTGCGTTTTCATAAGCCCCGGTAAATTCAGTATATCTGATGAACATCTGTAAGTATAACTATGCTCACCCTCATCACTAACATGCAGAGTGGAACATGAATTGGTGACATTGTGATAATCGCTAGTCGATAAATTGTCGGGATTGTTCACTTGACACAGAATTTCCAGGAAAATTTCTCTTCGGATGCATGGTCCAACATGATCACACGAGGGACAATGGTTGAGCATTGTGTTCCAAATGTCACACTTTACACCCTACGCGTACTATAAGCGACCAAAAGCTGGTAGCCTTTTGATTCAAGCGTATCCATCGCACTGGAAACATACTCAATAATTTGCCACCCTAGCATTGATCCGTATCAAGCACACAATTCGCTTGCAAGCACCGCGCTCACGTCAGATATGAATGAGCTCATGGTTGGACTGAACCAATTTTTCTGCGATACACCGACTCTCTAAGCGTCGTACTAGTTATCGCATTAGACAGGTGGTCAAGCTACGGTTATGTAATCTACAAATCGATTACAAAGAGCAGAATGTTGGTAGCACAGTCTAATTAGCAATACCATGGAGCTTATATACTGGTGTGAATTGCGGCCAAATAATAACACAAAGAGGAAGATGCCGTAGCTTACCGTCTCGGTATGTCACCATACTAAACTCCACTTGAGAAGGTAGAAAGAATAGCATAGGCCATGATGATTACAACCTTGTAATGGGCAACACGTGAAGGCATCGAGAAATACCACCGAGTTAACTAAAGGTAGGTCAGATGTGGCTCATCCGTTCTAGGCAGGTGTAATAACGATACTACATTGCACCAAGTCCCAAGTTGGTAGTTAATCATTCTAGACTGAAACTGTACCCATGCACGACTTACATGCTGTCTATAGAATAAGGATGACATAAAGAAAATGACGGAGACGTGGTAAGCAACTTTTCAAGTTAGCAGGGAAATGGTGTGATTATGTCTGCTGCAGGTTATCGGTGTCGGAAGGTAAACCAGAGTCGGTCCGGTTATCTCCTATCCGAGGTGAGCGAGAATCAACAGGGAGGTAGAACCACCAGGCAGTCCGTCGTATGTTACCATTTATATCCCCTGGTCATTCTTTCTGACCGCTAGCAAATCTCGCCCAATTCATCAGTGCCTAGAATGGTACCTATACCCAAGCATTTTGATTTGAATGTCACATCGTGTTGCTGCTGTTCCGGAATCAACCTTGATGACTTGTCTGAATCTCAGTGCATTTACCTGAAGGCGGCAGCAGTCCAAGGAGGCGTATCAAGACACTTGAGATGGGATACATTGATCTCATATTGCAACCCGCAATAAGTCACAATGTCACACGAGAAGAAATGTAATACGATCCATCTGTCAAGTGGGAACGCAGCGAGACACGAACAGATGTTAAGGGGACTTGTAATTTAGGCGTCCCATTTAGATATCGAGTCAGGAGATAATGGGGTCACGCGAGTGAAAATGCCATCAGTCTGTCAGGCTGAACTGTGGCGCTTACAAGTGTTTTTGTAAATGGCTTCCCCTTAGTCATTCAACCTGAGATGTCAGTTGGCATACCAAAGGTCTCTGCTTCGAGTTGCAGTACTGCAGTATTGCGAACGAGTATTTGTTCACACTTGTGTGTGGACTACCACAAACTGGATGGAGAAACAATAACCCTCATGAACCATAACTCTACGAACGTGTGCGAGTATGGATTGAATGTAATGTCATATTCCACTAGTGTTGGAAGATCTCACGTACAAGTATGAGCAACCAATACGACTGTCGTTGGTTACTTAACATTTAAAGGTCAACCTAAATAGCAATCATAAATTTAGTCAGAAGTGTGGGTATCGACAATAGATAGTGACAGATAAAGGAATAGGGAAACAAATGCCATCAATACGGTTACCAGATGGAATGATGACGAGCCAACATGTGGGCGCTTGCAACGAATATTGTTGGGCCTTGAACACCGAATTTCGAAACTGCATTCCAAAGCGAGGATGCGTTTTGGAGTACTTAGGCGCCACGGATAATTGCTGATCGCTACACCCAATTTGTTCAATCGAATACACGAACGAATGTGGAGTGTGGCTGCTCAGCTGGTCGATTTTAGAGGGTTGAATAGTTTTTTCAATGACCACTCCTTCCACCTGCATTTATAAGCCATGTAATAGCACGTGACTCATTCGAACTTGCCAAGCTTTGTTCGAGGTTGTTTGTATTAATTGTTCCCCTTTGTGGGCTCCTTAGAACTTCTACGCATAATCGATTAGTATCCGGTTCAGCAAGTTTCTAACTAGGAAGCACACGACAGACTGATAATCAAACACTGGCCAACTTTGTCACCTTCTCTGCTTGTCTGTTCTCTGGCACAAATTGGATGACAACGCAAATATGGTCCTTGGACTGTTTCACTTGGAAAATAATACCTCGAGGAAACCTTAGAAGTAGAAACTAGCGAACAAGCTTGTTTTCAGTGGATCAACATCAGGCTAGTACAACCATAAGTATGTAGATCAGAAATGAACCCGTAAGTTATAGGCCTCAATAAATCAAAATTCCTCATCCGTAAGGCTACCTGATTAGCCCGACCTGTGTGGAGCCGGATAGAATGAGGTAAGAAATATGCTTCCTTGTGTTAGTCTGTTGCCAGGGTAGACAGAGGGTCTGCACAAAATTCTTCTGTGCACACAACACCGGGTTGTAGAGCCGAATTGCGATTTCCTCCGCTGTTGACAGCAGACGGCATCTGGCAGCTCTTGGATGACGTCATCCTCATTTTCTCCTGCTTCTCCTACTAACGCTTGTATCCGTAGACTAGAGCATCACAAGCCTGCCTTGTAATCTGAGGGCGCCACTTCGAGCCTGTGTAAGGGATCGGTGGACGCTCTCAGTATCCGCAGCCCACGCGTGACTGTTGGTTGTTGCACGGTAGCGATGACTCATTACTTCGTATCGGCGTACTGTTGGTACCTGTTTAATAATCCTAATAACCTTAGTAATAACGGTAATGTTGTGAGTAGTTATCTTACTCGGAATTCTCACAATCAATGTCCTTGTCACTGCCACGACATTCAGCTTCATCAACGTTACGATTTGTATTCATCGTGTTCATCATCATCAATGTTCTTCGTCAACCATGGTATCAAATCATATCTTGCGAGTACCGAAGTGTAAAGACCGGCCAGCTCACATGTGTTACTAGATTAACGTCCACGCTTCATTTTCCCGTTGACATCTAGGTCCAGCATCCTAACCAGTCTTACCTATAGAGGATTCAACGCAACGCACAGCACTTTTAGCCTACACGATTTTTAAACATTCCCCCTTTTATTTTAGCCTACGATGTCGCAGCCACCGTTAGGATTTGGTTGGTTTAACCAACCGGCCCAACAAAACCCTCCTGCGATGGAGTTAAACCCCTGGGCACAACCACCACAAGCCTCAGCGCCTTACAGCATGCCTTACGGTCAGCCGCCCCCTTACGCGACGCCAACAGGGACACCGTGGCAGCAACCTGCGTATTCGACCGGATTTGCTCAGTATCCTGCGTTCAGTTCCTCCCAGCAACCACAAACCGTCGGAGGAGGCACCATTGGTTTCGATCTCATGGCATCGGTCCCATCACAAGTGCCATCTGCTCCTATCCCCTCCCCATCCAGATACCCGATTCCAGAGCCATCCGATCCTCCCAGGCCTCATCAAGTTCCAGTAACCGTTGATATGAGCCAACTGAAGGAAAAACAAATCCTCGACTCCGACAAACCAGAAGACAGTCCGAACACTGTTTCCGTTCAGAAGGAAGTTGTCAGCGTTCCGGTCGATAGGCGTAAGTGTAGCTAGTGATCTAGTCCTATGTGATTTATTGAACAGGTTTATTTCGAATGGGCGTTTAGTAGATTTGCTCCCTCATTTTGCCTTTAGAATGATAGCACTCGGTTCATTTATGTCCCAAATGGCTTCAATAATAGGCCGTCTTCTCCAACTCCACTGCTACTTACCCATGCAAGGAAACTCTTCTTTGTAAAAATGTGTAATTATCATCGTACAAAATCCGCCACTTAGGAGCTCACTGCTCAGGTCGACGTCAACTCATACGGAGTGAAATCCGGTGCACCGTTGTTGCCTTCTCTGTTCTCATTGCAAAAGTGTTGTTAACATCGCTCTCCATATGACAGTGCACCAGACCGCGGTCTTCTGACGTTTCACCATCATCCTAGCTGCTGTGGGTTTATGTACCAACTGACAAACGAATGTTGGGCAACTTTCTCGTTAGATAGTTGTTTCAGAACTCACTCCTTCAGTGACAAACGTTTATTTAGCAAAATCATCCGCAAAAATTACAGTGTGTTTGGCAAACCAAACTCCTCGATATACATTGCACGTTCAAGTTCATAACTAACACCCCTTCTGTAATATGCGTCCGGTCGTGGGTTTCGAGAGCTTCTGGTTCCGGAGTGTACACGGGTCGCATTAGACCGATGTGGGCTGAAACGTAAAAGAGAATGCTTCGTAGACGGCTAGAAAACCAACTAATAAGTGTCGGAGCGGGATGAACGGTGTACTTGTGTCACACCGCTTGAATAGCTGGGCGGTACTGTCACAGTTGCCGAAAGAGGACAGAAGCGCGAGGCGAGTAGATGGATGGCGTCAAAGCGAACGACGGTTGACTAATGCAACAACACCGACGACGAGATGGGAAAGCAAAGCGAAGAGAAAAACGACGCTCGTAATATAGACTACGCTCGAGGACAACTTACCTGTTGACTTGCAACTGCGACACTGACGCGCTGCACTTCTGAGTTGATTAGGTTCCTCCTTTGCTTCAGTTAAATAAACGGCGAATCACTCAAACGAGTATCGGTCAATCCGAGTCCAGTAAACAAATCCGTCACGCCCACCTCCCGTTGGTTATTTGGCTCGCTCGGTTGGTCCATCTGCTCACTCTGATCTGATACTACCATCACATCCTCCTTTTCTCGTGTTCTTGCGCCTCCATATTGCCATTCACCCCGTACAGCTTGCGACTCCGCGTCGTCTTCGCTGTATCTGTGACCGTGGCCTCCTTGCACCACGCCAGCTGCCACTTCAATCTCAATACACATTGTTGCCGCCGGTGTCGTCTCAAACGCACTCGATTTCTTCTGAACGTTTTCCCTCCAACGTTTATTTCACGTAACCTGGCACCGACCCTCGCAGTCACCACACCTTTCTTCCACCGCAGTTGACTATCGGGTATTGGTTGAACCCACACTTCCTCCTTCACTGTTAGCTCAGGTAGTGCGCGTGCACCACGCTCACAGTACCGTTTCTGAGTGCTCATTCGTCGTCTCAGATTGTTTTGTAATTGCTCGTGCCGTGGCGAATCTGGGCGCAAAGTGTGGCAGATGCCGGTATCCGAGTTTTAGTCCTTCGGCTGTGTAGGCGCTGCACTGGGCTCAAACCGATATTAGTTGAAGGAGTGTTGCGATTCTCCAGTACCATGAGTTACGTGTCCTCGCCAGATGCTATAGCCTTTGATAACAGTCGCTTGGCCTGCTTCACCGCCGACTCCGCCTTTCCATTAGATTGACTGTGATACGGGCTGGTTGGCTGGTGCAGGCATTCCCAGTTGGTTGCAAAGGCCTGGTACGCACAGTTGGTAAATTGGGGCCCATTGACGGAGACTAGCTCCTCCGGTATACAGTGCTGCGCGAACTGAAATCTGAGCTTGTTGATTACTGCCTCTGTGGTCGTAGTGGTGAGTAGATCGATTTCAAAATAATCACTCTAGTAATCTATCGTGCGTAATTAATCTACCCCGTTATCACTGAATAAATCCACCGCCATCTTTAGCCACGGTCGGTCAGGAACATCATGCAAGATCATTGGTTTCCTCGTCTGTCGGATTTCGTGTGAACGGCACGCTTCACAATTCGATCCATGGTTTCTTATTTGACCTGCAATTCCTGGTCAAAAGATCAGTTCTCTTGCTCGGTTAATGGTATAGTATAGGGTTTATATCAAGGAACTTTTAAGATAAACCTAAGCTAGTACCAGCGTTAACAGTGCCGAAGAAAGAGCATTCATACAGCTACCTTTTTAAAAGGGATGTAGCTACTGGTCAGTTAATTAGAAATTTTTCAGCCGAAAGAAAGTACACGTTCGCAACATTCACATTAAAATGCACTTTTTCAACTGAACCACTGATTCGTTCACGAAACAAGGACAAGTTGCCAATGCTGACCGCATCTATGGTTGTTTATCAGTTCACTTTTGTATAACATTTTGAACTACTTTATTTTCGAAAACCACCTCATGAGACTTGTCAAGTCTTGACTTTTTTTATCCATATCATACCATAATTCCATTGAGTGCGCCTGTGGCGCAGCGTATATCGGTAGAACGGTGCGGCACTTGCAATAACGTGTGAATGAACACTGTCCACGTTGGTTTTATCACGGTTGCTCTGGGGTCATTAGCAACTCCGTGCTGGCCCATATCGTGGACACTGGGCATCAGGTGGATCTAAAACATGCCTTTAGAATACTGTACAAAGTTCCTCTGCACAGGTGGAAATGTCAACGCTTTCGTACACTTGCCACAGCCAAAGCAATTTGCATTTGGTTGTTTAACCTCTGCTTATGTTCGAAAAAGAAATTAGTCCGTGCAGTTTATCTTCCTTACCAGCGAAAACGGAAGACGCAGTGGTCAACTGCCTCAGGTCAAACTCCGTAACGCGCAATTAACCCATGTACGCGTGGTTCACTTATCGTTGTAAGTTAATAAACTTGATCGATTTTACTTCAAACTATAATGATTTGAAGATGAATCATTGAAAGCAATTGCTCGCCCAAGGATCTTGTCTTTCTGGATTGAAAAGGGAATCTTCAATTTACATCAGGAAAAAAACCAACTGATCAAATATTCTCGAAAGATTAACGATGAGGAAAACACTGCGTTTTGGATTATTATAATATTATATATTTGAACTGTGCTTGCCGTTGTGTAAGAGCTCATCTGATCTATTCGAAACAGGGTGTACATGAGAATACATTTCATACTATACTACTCAGAACAGGAAAGCAGGATCCGCTAACTTTTTGTGCCGGACTCCGTGTTAGCATGTGTTGGCTGCTCTGTTTGCAGTTGAAAAGTCACTGTAGGGTTACTCTAAGATATTTAGATATTTAGCTGTCAAGCTCCAACCGAGGCCAGCTCTGAAGTGAGTGCCTTCATTCCTCTCGACCAAGTCATCGCTTGTCCACCTCTCCTCTTCTTCCATCCGCACCCGCGGTGCGCAAACGACGTACGTCGCGGAAGTCGGTGGGCTGGCATGCGCAACACATGGTCGAGCCATCGGAGCCTGGTGCATGAAATGACGGTGTTGAGCTGTTCAGTTCCTTTTCCTGTGCCATAAACAAGGCGTCGAACACGCTCGTTGCTCACGCGGTGTTCCCATCAGATGTGAGCTAAATTGCGAAGGAACCGATGGTCGAAGTTAACTAGCCTCTTTATATCCGGTGATCTAAGGGGCTCTTTTCGATTTTCATTGTGTTCTCTTCCAGCCAGAATATGCACAAAAGCATCGATAAGTTCTAGAGACCGCGAAGAGACTTACCACATGAGGATTTGCCTGCTGCTACTAAGGTGTAGTGAACATGCGACCAGTGACCTTCAAGTGTCTCCAGTCAGCGCTTACTCAACTCGCAAGTCAACGTACTATAATAGGCATTCAGTACAGCTGGCTCCGTCAGTTGGCTGGTGCCAACGCATGCACAGCATCTTCGTGGGAGTCGGCCAGAACGCATTCGCCTGTCAACACATCCAAGTGCATGGTCGGTGTACACACATGTGCTCCAAATCGACCGACAGTTCTAGATGACAGTGCATGCAAGGATCATCTAGGTCAGGACTCTTTGCATTCCATTTTACACTTGGTTTTACTGCTGTACAGATGCGACGTGTAGTCACCGATTGAACGCTACCACCGTTGACGGAAGACACGTTCCCTTCGGTAAAGTTTCACATGCTTAGCATACATTTAGAGAGTGGAAGTGACGGTGACATCCAAGATAATGCTGTTGATCCACAAAGTTTGGCTGATGACCTCTCAAAGTCCTTCTTTTTACGATGTTTCTGTGAGCGGTGGTTCTTCAGTTTATTCAGATCTTGGCACTTTAGTACACAGTCGATGCCATGTAATCAAGAAAAGAGGTTTTCCAACCTCTTTTTGCATGGGTATTGCAAACGTCTCATCTTTAATGATCACCATCCCGCCTGTGGTGTGAGCTCGCACATTCAATTTCATTATTGGAGAAAAACCTGGCTGATCGAGTTGAGCAAATGTTATTCATGGTAAGCCAACATACTGATTAGTTTCTCTTGTTATCTTATCAGTTTACTCGAATTCCCATGATCACTTTGTGTGAGCATTCCGCGATCACGCACACATGTAGTGCACCGCAAGTATTGCTCGCTTGACTTTGCTCATGCATGTTGTGAAGGGGTTTGTTTAGCACGTTTGGTGTGAGTACATTACACTGGGGCATATTTTTCTTCATACACATGTGTGCTGGTTGATTCTACTTCTAAGTCAGTAAATGAGCGAAGAATGTTCTTTTCGATCATTCTCATCGTGCGTATAGTTATAAAGCCGAGTGTTGAACGGAATAAAGCTCGTAGAGGCTTGTCTAGATAGGAGAAAAGACTATAAAGAAAGCAACCAACTCATTAACCAGGCAGTATGAAAACTAATTCAATGATGTGATCAATCAGACTGTCGCATGAGGAAGCACACGTGCTCAAGACTGGTCACATGTTAACCTTGAAGGCCGAGATGAAACAAAG